AGTGGTAACCAGATATCTGCATACTGTATGCCCTGCCCCAACTATGTGGCTCTCCATGACACAACTTACACTTCTGCTCCTAAGACTTCCTGTATGTGCCTTGGTCTCCAGGGGACATTCACTGCATTAGAAACTATGGTAAAATTCACCACCCCCCACACACTGTATAAATACTACATTCATTTCAAGCCTAACTTCAAAATATTCAACTGAGTAACCACTGCAAGTGTCATCCTTCGGAGACCTGCCCAGCATCGATCTGAGGGGTAAAATGGATTGCTCCTTTTCACTTGTTTCTTTTTTAAAAAGCTTTTGTAACTGAATCTTCAAAAACTCAAAAACGGTTTAAGTTAGAATCAAAATAGAATTAATGAATTTGTGGAAAACTCAAGAAGTTAACTACATGTTTCTTCAGAACTCTTAGGAAATAAAGTACCCTGTGGTAGAAAGGTTTGGAAGCAGCCCTCACTCTACTGGATGCCTAGTGCAGTACACTTTCAGAGCAGAGTAGAGCTTTATTAAGGACTCAACAGTCCGAATCTCATTTTACTGATTAAGAAAAAGGCCTAGATAAGTTCTTTCCCAAGCACACAGCTAATTAGAAGCAGTACTTGATCATCAAGTAAGTGGCACGTGCAAAAGTTCAATTAGGTTTGAAAAGTGTTTAAGCTACTATCAAGAAGAAGCATACATGTTGGGAAAGTCTGGCTTACTCTTTACTGCAAAATTGCTTTATCGGTTATCAGTTATTTGATTTAATCTTTGGTCCAAAAAATTGGAGTCAAAAAAACTTACTTCCATATGTCATTGACTTCAGTGGGTGCAAACTCTTTAGACTCCAGTTGAATCATGGCAAAGCCCCCGATGGCATACAGGGATCCAGCCAGGCTGACCAAACTGATGGAGCTTCTTTCTTGGGGAAATTCAGTCATTACTTCCCATCTAGGAATTGTTGAAAATACAGTCAATGTAAAACCTAAGGAAATGCCAAATTTATTTACTGAACAATTATGTGAAATTATAATTTAAAAATTCAAGTTAGCATAGGCATCTAAAATTAGAAGATTAAGTTTTTCTACTGAAAAATAGCTAAATATTTCTTTATTTGAAAGATGTAACCAGATTAAATACAAAGCCCTCAATATGTCAATCTTGGACTATTTCACCTTCATCAATTAGCATGTTCAGCAATGGTTATCAAAATGTGTGCCATAAACTGGGGGGTTGGTGCACTTCTAGGGCTCCTGAGTCTTACTGTGCTGGATTTCATTTGAATGGTAATACAAGTTTTTAAAAAGCCGGGTTTCCATCATTTCTGGAGAAATCTCTAAATCCTTTGCAGTAAAGGCATGTAATTAACCTAGTTGAGAAACTAGAGTTAGTAATTTTCTTTTTAATGACTTCATCTTTTTAAATAAAGGATTTAAGGGAACTTTTTAATGTTTAAAGCCATATGAAATAGGACAACTAATGATAAAATTAATAAAATCAGTTGGAGGTATCAAGAGTCTAGAATGAGTTAGTCATTTTGGCAACTCTCTATTCTATTTCTCTGTCGTTAAAAGTGGACCTTTCTCTAAACATATTATTTGTTTTTCTAACTATAAAAATAGCACATATACATTATAGACAACCTGGAAATACAAAAAGGTATAGAAGAAAACAAATACCACCATGATCATACCCTCCAGACATAATCATAAGCAACATTTTAGTGTAATTTTGTTTTTTTCAAAAAGCATACAGATTTATAAATATAAATGTCTATACATACACATGAAAAAGCTATGAACATAGAGTGTTTATAGTTCTGTGCACTGCTTCTTTAACTTCTTATGAGTGTTTACCTATATGATAGTTTTCAAAAACACGATTTTTAATGATCGTTTAAATCCATAAAAGTTCCTTGGTGATTTTCAGATACTAAAGTGTATTTTGTAATCAGGCATACATGGTTCCTTAAAAAAGTAATGACAGTGCTCTGATTTTTCTTCATTGCTAAACTAGGAGTGTAAAAACTATGTATTTATCTAGATGAGTGAACTCAAAAATTTGAAAAAGACTAATTTTACATAAACGATATCTGTCAAATGTCTTTTCATATTAACTTTAAGCCAATAAAAGCTTATAAGTGAAAATTTTAAGAAATTATAAAGAGTATAAAAGAATTAACCATTTGAAGCATTCATGCTTTACAAATATCATAAGCTAAGTGGAGGTCTTTTCATTCTACATATTTCAAATCAAAACACCATATGGAGACATGTATATTCACCCACATGTATATAATTATTCAGAAGTATTACCTTTGCACGACTAAATTCATAAAGTTAAGTTAATAACAAATAAGGACAAATTGAACACTCCAACATTAACTTGAGGACTATGTGTTCCAAGTTGCAAACACATGTAATGCATCAAAATGTTAGGCTTTTCACACCCAATAACAGTAGAAGGAACCCACATACTTCATCTTAATCCTTGCCTCCCTGCCCTCCTCTCCCCATGTCCTAATCAGAAAGCTTCATTTCCATCCAAAGTTAAAAAGTAGAATGACTCATATGCTTTGGTAAGATACAGCAACTCACTTATTGGTTATGAGGTCAAAAGCTTCTACTGAAGCTGAAAGGCCATCTTCGGTGACGCCTCCTGCAATCACAATCTTGCCCTTATGTATGGCCACCCCAAACATGGAACGAGGGGTTTTCATTGGAGCCACATCTTTCCAGTCTCCTTTTTTGGGGTTGTAGATAAACACTCTGTTTGTACACTTTCTGTGAACATAAAAGACAACAAAATGGTCCTTTTAGAACCTTCCTTTCTGAAAGAAGCAATTTCACTAATCATTTAACATTGCTTCCCATCTCAGATACATAAAGCAGAATTAGAAAAACTCATAAGTATTCTGAATCTGAGCCTATGACACAAGTGAAGGACAATTGCCAATGTGGGCACTAAAACTATTTTATAACTTAAAAATACTACTGGATGGTAGAGTACCTTTCCTTTCGGCAATCTCCCAGAGTGGATTTTAATCCTATCTGCTGCTAAATTCAACAGAAGACACAGATAGAGTTGAAAAAAAAAATCATAGACCCTTTTTGTGCCAAGTAACAAAAATGTTAAGTTTATCTTATTGTTTGAATCTCCTAGGAATGACTTAGTTAATTTAAAAAATAATTAGGTATGAAAGTACCTATTTTAAATTTAACTCCATAATATGACGGCTTGTTTCATTTTAGTATACTACTAATACACCAGTGTATTTTAAGAAGTCTGAGGCTATAGATTAGACAACTAGTCGTCTGAATAGATGAGTAAGGAGAGCAGTTTTATATGCTAAATGCTACCAGGAAAACCTGTACTCATCTGAATTATTCTTAGCATGTTCCTCAGAGTTCCTTAAGGTTATCCATAATTTACTGATAGGAGTTCAAAATGCTAAATAATAATTCATCAACTGGATATATTTGTGGGATTTTTTATTTAGTTTTGCTTTTTTAAAGTAAGCTCTACATCCAATGTGGGGCTTGAACTCGCAGCCCCAAGACCGAGGGTCATATGCTGTAGCAGCTGAGCCAACCAGGTGCCCCTGGATATATTTGGTAAAGCAAAAAAAGCCAACAAACAACACTCCCAACGTTTTAGGAGGACAACTTTTTTCCTTAGTCTTATGAAAGACCAGATATCTGGAGTAGAAGCATTTCCTCTAATATTTGACTATGAGTATTATTTTAAAACTTCTTGACAAGGTCATGATACAAAATCATGTTCTTCAAATTCAGTGGTGTTAACTAGTGAGATTTAGTGCTTACTTTTAGATAATGACTCATTTCAAAGTTCTTTGGCATTCATCAAGCAATGCTGTCTTGGTTAATCATACTCTCAAGATTAATATATTCTTACCAACAAGACCTGTATGCTTCTTACTGACATATCAATTTCCTAGTTACTAATACCACTTGAAGGAAACAATTTAAATCATTTGGCAGGGTCACTAGATTTTCAAAGTCAGAACACTGCTTAATACACATTTTCCATCCTATCTACTCAGGAAAAATACCCCAAATAAGATTTTGCACTAAGTTTGTAATATGACCTTCCTTTAAATTATGGGAATGGCTGGGATTAAGGCAAATATTAAAATATCAGAATATGTTATCTTTGAATATGGATAGACTGTATAAAAACCCATTGTTCTTTTTTTTTTTTTAATTTTTTTTTAACATTTATTTATTTTTGAGACAGAGAGAGACAGAGCATGAACAGGGGAGGGGCAGAGAGAGAGGGAGACACAGAATCGGAAGCAGCCTCCAGGCTCTGAGCCATCAGCCCAGAGCCCGACGCGGGGCTCGAACTCACGGACCGCGAGATCGTGACCTGAGCCACCCAGGCGCCCCCCCATTGTTCTTTTTAAACAATTAGTCATTTATTTTTATTTTATTTTATTTTTAATTGAAGTATAACTGACATACCATATCGTATTAGTTTCAGATGTATATCATAGTGATTTGATATTTTTATACATTATGAAATGATCCCCCTAGGTAAGTCTAGTTACCATGTGTCACCATACAAAGTTGTTACAATATTATTGACTACATCCCTATCCGTATATTACATCCCCATGAGTTATTTTATGATTGGAGATTTGTATATCTCAATCCCCTTTAACTATCTCACCCGTCCCCAACATCTCCCCGCTCTGGTAACCACCCGTTTGTTTCCTATATCAATGAGTCTGTTTCTTTTCTTTCTTTCTTTTTTTTTTTTTT